GCGCGGGCCGGTGGGCAGGGGGAGGCAGGCGGGCAGGCGACGGTGCCCCGGGAGGCGAGAGCCACAGGGGTGGGATGGGGCGAGGGCAGGAAGGATCGAGGGGCTGGGGGTCTCGGGCAGGCGGTGGGGGCAGCTGGGCATGAGGCCCCCGTTGGGCTGGAATCAGTGGGACTGGGGACCCCGGGAAGGCTGGGGTTGTGGGCTGGGTCCCCAGAGTGGCAGGGGTCAGTGGAACAGGGGTCCCCGGGCGGGCAGGGGCTGGTGAGCCCCGAAGTGGCATGCCTGCTGCTATGCTTCTGGGTAGGGGAGACTGGGGGCGTTCGACAGTGCAGTCAGGGGTGGAGGTGGCTGGGGGCCCCAGGTAGGGGGACTGGGGTCAGTAGGGCTGAGACATAGATGTAGGGCCGAGCCAGCGTGTGTGGTGCTAGTCCTGACTCCCAGCATGGCCAGGAGGCCCTGGATGGCTGTGCCCCTTGGCAGAGCTGGACTCTGGCCACCTGCCTCTGGTGGAGGAGAAGCTGAGGGCAGCTCTATATTGCCCTGGCCATGCCCACTGCTGCTGCCATTCCACGCTGCTGGCCATCTCTATGTCATTCTTCCATGACCACCACTACAGTGCCAACATGTGCTTTTGCTTTCCATGTGCTTGATGCCTCCCAGGGCTGCCCTCCTGCCTGCTCCCCTCACCTTGTTCTCTGCCCCAGCCCCTCACCCTCATGCTAGGGCAGTGTGCTGCTGCAGACAAGGGCTAAAGGAGGCACAAAGCATCCTCCTTCCAGTGAGGTGGTGGGGGGAGAGGGCCCTTGTGTTACGGGGCAGCAGTGAGATCTTGCAGGGCGTTTGACCACAGGAGGATGGTGGCCCTGATGGGCTGGGTTTGGATCCCCAGTGCTAGCCTGTGCCACCTCCCACAGCTCAACAGGCTCTGCTGGGCACCAGGACGTCAGCAAGAGCATGTCTCCAGCATGGATGCTTGTGCTGGAGGAGCTCTTCTGTTTAGGTGGGGTTGGTCAGGAGGCAGGCTGAACTAAGCCTGAAAGATCCTCTTATTCTGGACAATAGTGGCATGAGTGCAGTGGCAGCCGTCATCCTTAGGGACATGCTGTGGCTGGAGGTGATGGAATGGGGCTGGCAGGAGAAACTGGGGACGCATCCCCTCTGCTTGCCCTAGGCAGCCCTGCCACTTGCTGCCCTTGCATCATCACATGCACAAGCTGCTGAAACCAGGGGTGGCAGTAGGGTGTCTCCTCTTGTGTCTTCTCCTTTGGCTGGGAGCTGCGATGTGGTCCTTGCAATTTCCTCCCCACTCTCTGGTGTGTCAGCTGCTTTGCCAGGGCTTTGTGCAATTCCTTGGCTGCCCCACGCTGCCTCTTGCTATCACTGTCCTGCCTCCTGTTCCATTCCCCCTGCCAGCTCTTGCCATCGGCCTTCAGGCTGCTCTGACCACTGGCCACTGTGTGCTTTGGAGGCTGGGGGTCCTGCAGGAGAAAGGGCACAGCACAGAGATTTGGAGGGGCAGAGTGATGCTGCATCTCTGCTGGCCCTCAGGGGAGAGCTCTGTGGGGTGCAGAACACCTGGTTCCTGAGCCCATGGTGGGGGGTGCTCCTCAGGGGATCCCCCCTTGGCCAGGGCTCAGGGCTGGCAGCTGCAGTGGGCCAGTGGGGCTGCTGCATGCCCTCTAGGGGCCTGTGGACCCCCATGGGAGGGTGTGGATGCTGTCACAGGGTGCAGCATTGATTGAGGACCTGCCCAGGGCCAGATGGCAAATGAGGGAGAGGATGTGGTTCTGCCTCTGCCTGCCCCCTCACAGTCCCCAGCTGGTGCTGCCCTGTGCTGACGTGTTTGGCTGTGACTGTGCTGACTTTTCCCCTAGATGTGTCCCTGCAGGGAACCAGGATGTCCCAGCCTTTTCCCAAGTTCTGTCCACCCACCTGGCTGGCGACAGGGCGGGAGCAGGATGCGGATGGGAGCATAGGGAGGCATTGCGTGGTGGTGGACAAAGTTTTGGGGAGATGGCTGCCTGAGCAGGGCTGTGTTTGTGGATCTGTGGATAAGGGAAGGGATGTTGGAGGGAAAGGGAGCAGGAGGGAGCTGGGGTGGGATCTGGTGGACTGGCGAGTCTTGTGAGGTGCATGCAGATTCTCTCAGTGCCTGTTTGCCTGCCCCTTCCCCACAGGGTTTGAGTCAACTGCCTAGCCAGGATGAGCTGGAGTTTCCTGACACGGCTCCTGGAGGAGATCAACAACCACTCAACCTTTGTAGGCAAGATCTGGCTGACTGTCCTCATTGTCTTCCGCATCGTGCTGACAGCCGTGGGGGGTGAGTCCATCTACTACGACGAGCAGAGCAAGTTTGTCTGCAACACACAGCAGCCGGGCTGTGAGAACGTCTGCTACGACGCTTTTGCCCCCCTCTCCCACGTCCGCTTCTGGATCTTCCAGATCATCATGGTGGCCACGCCATCAGTGCTCTACCTGGGCTTTGCCATGCACCGCATCGCTCGCATGCCTGAGTCCTCACGGCGCCGGACACCAGCAGCCCGGCGGGCTCGCATGCCGGTGGTGCGCCGGGGAGCCGGGCGGGACTACGAGGAGGCAGAAGATGATAACGAAGAAGACCCCATGATCTTTGAGGAGATCGAGGTGGAGAAGGAGAAGAGTCCAGAGGGCGGAGAGAAGCACGATGGCCGGCGCCGCATCAAGCAGGATGGGCTGATGCGTGCCTATGTCCTGCACTTGCTGTGCCGCTCACTGCTAGAAATGGTTTTCCTCTTTGGGCAGTACCTGCTGTACCGCTTTGAGGTGAGCCCTTCCTACGTCTGCAGCCGCAGCCCCTGCCCGCACACCGTCGACTGCTTTGTCTCCCGCCCCACCGAGAAGACCATCTTCCTCCTCATCATGTATGCTGTCAGTGGGCTCTGCCTCTTCCTCAACCTCTGTGAGCTCTTGCACCTTGGTGTGGGGCGCATCCGTGATGCCCTGAGCCAGTCTGGTGGCCCTCCGCTCCCAATTGGCGACAGTCCTGCACCACAGTACCCCAAGAAAGCCCCCAGTGCACCTCCCACCTACCACTCGCTGAAGAAGGAGCTGCCACAAGCCCCCCTGACCAACGGCAAGCTGGACTACCAGGAGAGCCTGGCCCAGGGGCGCTTCGCTCTGGCTGGGGCTCCCCCGGCACATGAGCTGGACCGGCTGCGTGAGCATCTGCGCCTGGCCCAGGAGCACCTGGAGGTGGCCTTCCACCTCCAGCCCCCTCCGAGGCCCCCCAGCCCTGCCCGCAGCAGCAGTCCTGAGGCCAACGGCATTGCTGCCGAGCAGAACCGCCTCAACCTCGCCCACGAGAAGGGGACCACTGCCTGCGACAGGACCACGGGTGAGCTGGGGAGAGGGCACGGAGGGCTGCTTCTAGGCTCCCCTGGAGAGGGGATGCCATCCCACCTGGGACCGGGACTAACCTGCCTCTTGCTCCCCACAGGGCTGTGAGTGCCACCAGGGATGACGGCGGTGACTGCTGGAGCGGCTGCCGCCGCCACCATGGGACAGGCGTCCTGCCAGGAGTGTGGGTTGGAGGATGCCATGTGCCTGCCCAGCAGGGCAGTCTGGGCAAGCCCTGTCCTGGTGGGCAGCGGAGGGGATGGGGGCCATGGGGTTCATTCCTACTTAATTTTCAAAAAGGGAATATCTTATTTTTGTACATTTTTATAAACTCATCAGCGTGTGCACCCTGGCATTTTTATACTCCATCCTGATATCCCTTCTGGGCCTGTGCTCCCCCATCTCCCATTTCACCCTTTTTTCCTCCTCCCACACCCATTTTCTGCAGCATGTTCTCCTCACACCTCCCTGTGCCCCCTGTGCTAGCTGCCACCCACTGCAGCACCGTCCAGTGCTGTGCATCCGTGGGTGATGCTGGTGATTTTGGTACTGCCCCCAAGGTGTGGGGCTTTAGGGGAGCAGGCTGGGGGTCTGGCTGGCTGGGCTGAGCTGTGGGACAGAGAGCTGGGCTGGCATTACACTTGAAGTGGAGGGGATGGAAGGGGTCCTGGCAGCACTGCTGCTGGAAAGGGCCAGTACGGCCATGCTGCACAGCATCCTGGCACGGGGCTGTGAGCTGTGGGCTGGCCTGCTCAGAAATGTCTGTGCAGAGGTCAGGGGCTGTCCTTCCCGCTGTCTCCGCCCTGTCCTGGCAGGTCGCCCTTGGACCAAAACTCATCTCCTCCCACTCTGCCTGCGGGGCTGGGACCCCCCACACAGAGCCAGACCCTGGCCCCACAGTGTGGGGACATGGTGCCCCGAGCTGGGCTCGGCCAGGAGCCAGTGGAGCATTTCTTGTCATCTCAGCCTGGGTCACACGGGGACTTTTGTAGCGTTGTTTTTTACTCGGAAATGATTGTCACTGTTTTTCTTCCTTTTTTTTTTTAATATCTATATTAGTAAAGGCTGAAGACGTTTTGTACTGAACTGCTGCATCTGGTCCTTTGGGAGGAAGGGGTGGGAAGGGAATCCTGCGTGGCTGGGCTGGGACCTCCCTGCTGCCCAGGGTGACTCAGTCGTTCCCGCTCTGCAGAGGCTGTGACGGGGCAGCTTTCATCATCAGCCTGGTGGAGAAGAATTGCTCTGGCTGCATTCCTATTTGGCCCTATCCCTGTTGAGGGGCCGGGTGAGGGGCTTTCCCGTTCCTCCCCAACCTCCCACCATCCCCATGCCTCATCCCTCTGTCGCTCCCGTTCCTCCACAACCTGTTGCCCGGAGCAGAAGGGATGTTGCTCTGCCCTGTGCTCCCATGCCCAGGGCAGTATCAAACCCAGCCATGCCATGCCAGTTTTGGCCAGCAGACCCCAGTCCCCTCTCTGGTACCCCAGGTCAGAGTTGGATGCCTATAAAGTACTTGCCCGTCCCCTCACTTCTCCATCTAGAAGTCCCCCAGGAAGGTTGCATCCCACTGCACAACTGCATGCCACCTCCATGGCTGCTTCTGATGGAAGCTGACATTTCCACACTGCTTTAGTAAAGGGAGCACATTTATTTCCCGTTAAGCTTTTCAACAAGCTGTGCTGCCGGGAGAGGGCTCACTTGCGGTGCCATGCATGCCACCAGCCCTACCAGTGTGAGGTCCTGTCGTGGTTTTGCCCAGGCACAGTCTGATCCTGTTGCAGCTGCCTGGGCCTGCCTGGAGGCTGTTGAATTCTGCAGCAGAAGCGGGACCCCAGTCTTTGGGGAGGGGCAGAACTGAGGGAGGGGAGCAGGTGGAGAGAGACGGGGGCTAACCTGGTTGCAGACAGCAGCCTGGCTTTGGCAGGGCAATGGTGCCTTTGCCAGAGGCTGTGCCTATCCCTGCCCTGCCATGCCCCAACTTGCTCTGGGCAGGGACTGGCCCTAGGGCAGGTCTGGCAGCGTGATGGTACCTGGGGCAGCCCAAAGCTCTGGCTTGTGCAGGGGAGGGTGGCACAGCCCAAAATGCTCCTCCAGGTCCCTTTGGTCCCTGCAATGTGGGGCCAAGGTCCCACTGGGAAAGCAACTCCTTCTCAGTGGGATCACAGTCTGGGGCTGGGCTGTGGGATGCTCTAGACACAGGTACAGTCCTGGGCCAGGATGTTGGGCACTGTCTCGTACTTGAAGGAGTACCCGCCATCGGAGGTGGTGCGGACGCGCAGGGAGCGCATGGTGCCGGGCAGGGCAGAGCAGCAGAGCTGCACGCCCAGACGGTGGCTCAGCCCATGGCCCGCGGTGCAGCTCCCATGGCAGTAGTGGAAAACGAAGCTGCTGGGATGCACGATCCACTTGTCCCAACCCAGTTCCTCGAAGGAGATGTTGAGGGAAGCCCGGCGGCAGTTGGTGTGGGCAGCCAAGTCCTCAGATGGGCGCTGCAGCAGGCTCAGTGCAGCTGGGGACCAGGGCATGGTGGAGCGACGAGCCCTCTCACTGCCCTTGGCCCGGGTGGTGGCCACTAAGAAGGGCATCTTGTCCCCCTCGGCCAGGCAGGGGCAGCCAGGGCAGCGCACCAGGAGCACAAAGAGTGGCTGCGAGAGCTGGGGCAGCAGCACGGGGGCCAAGTGAAACACTGTCCAGTGCTCGGGTGTCTGCTCTGCCGTGGCTGTCACCGGCACCCGGCCCTGTGATGACAGGGCCAGCACGTCAGGGGCTGAGTGGTTCAGGGTGGCCGAAGGACCGGTGTAAAACCAGAGCTGGGCAGAAGTCACCATGCGGCTCAGGGTGTGTGCTGAGGGCTGGAAGAGATAGCTGAAAATCCCTTCTTCCTCCAGCAGTTTGTCCGGCTGTGTGGGCTCACAGGGCACATCTGTGGTGGGGAAAAGATGATCAGGGTGTGTGCCCAAACCTGGGGAGAGTCCCCCAGTGCCAGGCAGCAGGGGAAATGTTGCAGAGGGTCCCTGGGATGCTGGCAGGGCACTTGGCTGCCAGCATAGGCTGTGGCAGGGTGCAGGGGAGCTGCTGTCTAGTGCTACACAGCAGTTTCTGTGCTGTGTCCTACAGCCAAGCCCTGCTTATGCCCTGGGCTGGTCCATTAGTGTTGCCCCAGCGTCCTGCCCCATCTCCTAGTGTCCTGCCCCATAGCTGGTCATCCTGCTGCCTTCCCCCAGCATCCACATCTTATCCCATCCCCCAGCATTCTGCCCCATCTCCCACTGTTGTGCTTTATAGCTGGTCATCCTGCCCTATCCCACAGCATCCTGCTCTGTCCCTTTGTATTCCATCCCATTTTCTAGTATCCTGCTCTATTCCCTAACATCTCACCCTATTCCACCCTGCCTGCTCCTCAGCCCTACCCATGTCTCTGCATCCTGCCTGGCCAGATGTTCCTCAGCCTCTTAGCACTCTCTTGTGCTGCCCACACCTCTCCCTGTCTGTACTGGGCTGCTCTGCCTGTCCCTGCCTGCCATACCTTTCCCCCTCCTGGCTCTCCACCAAATCTTGCCCATGCCCGTGCCCCAGCCTGGCATACCCTCTTTCCCTTCTCCCGCAGACCACCACAGCAGCCTCTCCATCCTTCAGCATCCGTGTTGCCTTGAGGCCCCACCCTGCTTACCCCTCTGCCCTCTCCATTCCACCATGATGTTCTCACCTGTGGAAGGGAACAAGATCACCTGGGAGGTGTCCTCCAGCTCCTCTGGCTCAACTTCAGCGTCTTCAAGGATGTCTCTCCGGTGTACCCTCCTTGCTTCCATCTGGGGCTCCTCCTGGAGAAGCGGGGGGCTCAGATGCTCCAGCACCCGAGCCCGCACCTTGGCCAGGATGAGCTGCCTGTCAGCACCCGCCCCAGTGCAGCTGGCCAGGGCAGCAGTGGGCAGCATGGCAGGCAGCAGGTGCAGGAGGAGCAGCATGACTGTGGGGTGTGCAGCAGACCAGTGGCTCAGGGGGCTCTGCCGTGGGCTTCTGCCTGCCTGCCCAGCCTGTCTGCCCGCTGTTCTCCCCCTGGGGCAGGGTGGCATTGAGATCTATCTGACACTGACGCAAACGTCTGCTCGCCGTGAATATTATCTCTGGGCTGTGAAAGCGCTGAGACGTCTGGAATGTGAGGACTGCAAGGACAGTGTGGTCTGGAGGGGGGGGGCAGCGCCTGGGCAAGGGGTGTGTGTGGGGGGGATGCTGCTGGGAGCAGCGGGTGCATGGGGCTGGGGAGGCCGTGCTGTGGGCAGGGTGCTGCCAGGAAGGTTTTCCTGTGCTGGCAGGGATGGAGGGGGCATCCTGAGCAAGCTTTGCAGCTGCTGGTGCTGGGTGCCCCCCACGGTGGAGGAACTGGAGATCTGCAGCTTCAGGGGGGATAGTGGGAGGTGACAGCAGTTGTGCACAGCAGGGAAATCTGGGCAAAGACCTGATGGGGTTTAGAGCCCTGTGAGGCTCTGGCATGGGGGAGGCAAGTTGGGGCGTACAGGCTGGGCACTGGGATCTCTGGGACAAGCCAGGGCAACCAGGATGTGAGGATGGGGCCCTAGGGAGGGCAGGCTGGGGGGTGGTGTGTGACTGTGGCATCTCCAGGACAGTCTGGAATCTGGCAAGGTCCTGGAGACATGAAGCAGGAGGGACAGCAAGAGGTCCCTGGGGCTAGGACTGGGGAATGCTGGGCCAGCTTCAGGGAGAGAAGAGTTGAGGCAAAGCCAAGCCAGCTGGACACCCTGCAGCAGGCAAAGGATCCTGGACTGCTCCACGGGCTGGCTCACAGTGTGGGAGTTGCAGGAGAGGCATAGGCATAGGCTGCAAGGGGACCCGGTGCCCTTCCTCTAATGGCTGCCTGAGGGGACACTGCCGGGTGTTCCCGATTCGTCAGCCCTGCCTGCCCTGTGGGTGGTGGGCAGCCTGTGTATCCCCTCTGCTCCTCCCACAGCCCAGTGTCCTGCACAGCCCATGCACAACCTGGCATCTCATGCAGCATCCAGTGCGGTACATCCCACCCCATGCAGTATGTCTCGCATAGCATGACCTCTCTCACTGCAGTCTGGTGTCCCGCTCCATATACCCCACACCATGCTGTACATCCCACATGGTGCATTGTCTCCTGCTGCTGGCTGAGCTATCATGGAGCCACAGCTGGGGCTGTGGCACCCCAGCTCTCTGGGGTGGCTCCCGCCAGGCTGCTATACATAGGTAGACCAGCCCTGCCTCAGTGAGGCGCTGAATGGAGCAGGCTCGGTCTTATCAACCCAGCGTGTCATCAGAGGGTATTTTTGGGGACAGCAGCTGCAGGCATTTATAACGTTTGGTCCCTGTGCACTGACACCCAGGAGCGGAGCTGGAGGAAGCAGCAGGAGCTGGGCACCGGCACTGGGAGACACAGGGGAGAGGCAGCGGACCGAGGTGCGTGTGTGGAGATGGAGACTGGGCTGAGGGGCTGTCTGGGGCAGGGTGATCAGGGAAGGGGGTGGTTAAAGGGTGCAGTGGGGCGGCTGAGCCATCAGGTCTGTCTGCATCTGCAGAGGCTGCTGTGGGGTGGGCTGTGGGTCAGGGGAGTTTTTGGCCAGGGAGGTGGCTCTGAATGGATGCACTGTTCCAGGGGTAGGGAGCTGGGAGGAGAAGCTGGCCCCGGTCCTTCTCACTCCTTGGGGAACAGCCCTCTCCCACCGTCCCCTCTGGCTCATTCAGGGAGTATTCTTGTTTCCCCTCCCCCTGCCCAAGCAAGGCAGAGACGGATATTGCCCCAGCCCCGGCCATGGTGTGGGCAGAGGCTGCAGTGCACTCACCCGGGGGAGGCACCCTGCCCTGCTCCTGCCTGTGATAGTGGGCATGGTTACCCAGAAAGCTGGGGATGGAGGCAATGCCCTCCAAAAGCAGGACCCACCTCCCCGGCCTTATCTTTGCCCCTGGGGCTGATCATTTCCAGTCATGACTTTCAGTGCGCGAGGGCTGGATCCTGCCTGTGGGACCACACTCTGGAGGGGAACCTGCTCCTGGAGAGCCCACTTTGCCATAGGGCATGGCCCTGTGGGGTGGCCGCCGGGCACAGGGGGGGCCGCCTGCCCATCCGAGTCTGGGAGGAAGTACCCGGATCCAGCCGGAGCCTCGCGCCCATGACAGCCCTGTGTCAGCACCTGCCTGCTGAGCCGGCCCAGATGATGTAGGAATGCGGCTCTGCCACCACCCGATACTGCAGGAATGCCCGGCGGGTGGGGAAGGGGTGGGAGGGGGGCCCTCTTGCCTCTGCTGTCCCCCAGCCTCAGCAAGCAAGTGCCTGTGCTCCCTGTCTAGGCAGGGATCGCCTGCTGCTCGAGCTTGGGTCCCCTCTGCAACCCTGGGGTAGGTAGGCTGTGAGTGCCCCAGGCCCTTGGGGTGCAAAGAGCTGCCTTTTATTCCCTCTCCTATTGCCGCGGGCTGGGAAATGGGTGATTTGGGTGACACAGGAGCATATCCAGTGGGGCTGAGCTGCTCAGAGAGAGGGTGATGCTCCTGCAGCATGGGGTCCGTGCTGGGAGTTTTGCTCTGGGCGCGGCTCCCTCCTGGTGGGGCTCCACACTGGTCAGTCCTTTTGATAAAGCCTTAGCCCCTACCCTGGTCTGTCTGTGTATCTCCCCAGGCTAATGGTCCCCACTGCTGCTCCAGCCATCTGCCTGCTGTGACCACAGGAGGTGGTGATGGAGGGGTTTGGGGGAGCCCCCAGGTTCCTGGCCTATCCACGTGCCTTCACTGTCCAAAGTGGCACTGATGTGGTCCTGAGCTGCCAGATCAGGGGTGATCCCCAGCCAAGCATCCACTGGGAAAAGGACAAGAACCCCATTGAGCCCTCAGGCCGTTTCCATATAGAGACCAAGGGGGACCTGTACAGCCTGCTGGTGTCTGGTGCCAGCCCCCAGGACAGTGGGCTCTACATCTGCAAGGCCAAGAACAGCGTTGGCGAGACTTATGCTGCCACTGCACTCAGGGTGGAGGCGGCGGAGCCCCAAGAGGAGGAGGGATGCTTGGGTAGTGAGGCACCTGCCTTCCTCATTACCCCCTCATCCATGAGGGTGTGCCGGGGGGAGGATGTGATGTTCACCTGCAGGGTGTCTGGGCAGCCCTGCCCAGTGCTGGAGTGGGAGAAGGATGGGCGCAAGCTCTCCGACCTCTTTGAGAGCAGTCACTTCACAGTGGGGCAGAAGCCCGAGGACTGGCACTTCCTGAAGTTGTTTGGTGCCCGGCCCCCGGACGGGGGTGTGTATGTCTGCCGGGCACGCAGTGGCTCCCGTGAGGCCCTGGCTGCTGCCGTGCTCCTGGTCGAACCCCAGGCACTGATGGACGGGCTTCCCAATGGCTCTCCTGCTGATGGTCCCGAACCACTAGAGGAGCGGCAGCGGCGGCGGTGGCACACAGCGGGACGGCGCATGGGACCAGAGATCTGGGTGCCCAATGGCGTAGTGCCAGCCAGGGTGCCAGCAGCTAAGGCATTTGCCGTGAGCGTGGGGAAGCATGCCAAGTTTCGCTGCTACGTTACTGGCAAGCCCAAGCCAGAGATCATCTGGCAGAAGGATGGTGAGCCCCTCGCCCCTGGCCGCAGGCATCTCATCTATGAGGACCGGGAGGGCTACTTCATCCTCAAGGTGCTGTACTGCAAGCCCCAGGACCAGGGGCTGTACATGTGCACTGCTTCCAACACTGCTGGCCAGACCCTCAGTGCAGTGCAGCTCCAGGTGAAAGGTAGGAGTGTGTCCAAGCAGTGCTAGGGGTGGCTGGGCACTGGGGGGGTACAGGGAGTTTTGTCTGGCAGGGGTGTGTCTGTGTGGGAGCCTAGCATCCCTAGGCTCCTTCCTGCCCTGTGCAGCCAGGGTCACCTCAGGCTCCTCAGGATAGAGCTGTGAGCTGGAAGCAGGGGATGCTGGGCTCCTCTGTGAGCTGTGTCCCCCTCCATGTCCCTCTCTTCTTGCAAACAGAGAGGTGGCCTCTTGGGATGGCTGTGGGTGTCCAGCCATGAACAGGGAAGGGGGACAGTGCCTTGGTGACAAATTCCCCTGGAAGTGCTGAGTGATTTTGGCAGGCAACCCTTCAGGGCAAGGCTCCAACCATCTACACTGGTAGCAGCCCCATCCCCCCTGAGCCACCCTGCCAGCTGGAGAGAGCCCATTGCTGGAGTGACCCTGTCCCTGGTGCAGTCCCTGCCTGTGCACCCTACTGCTCCCCTCCGCTAAGATGCTTGCCACAGTGTGTTGTCTTCCATGCTTCTGCATCCCCCAAAACTCCCTGCTGAGATGCTGGGGGCATCCCTGGGTCTCCCCAAGCTGTGTCATGGTTCTCCCTGCTCTGGGGGATGTGTTTCTCAAGGCAGAGTCCATCTTATGCAGGCCAAAGGAGAGGACAGAGGAGGGCCAAGGGCTCAGTGCTCTTTGTGAGCTGGGAACAATGTGAGCAAAGGACTGTGGTGGGTGCTGCACCCCGCATGCCCTCAGCTCCTGTCTCTTCTGGTGACAGAGCACCGGCTGCGGTTCCAGGTGCAACTGGCAGATGTGGAGGTGGCAGAACGAGAGGATGCTGTGTTGGAGTGCCAGGTGCCACTGGAGACCATCCCCACTGCCTGGTACCTGGAGGACAGGGAGCTGCAGCCCAGCCACAAGTACGTGATGGAAGAGCAAGGAGTGGTGCGGCGCCTGACCATCCGCGATGCCCGCACTGACGACGACGGCATCTACCTCTGCCAGATGAAGGACAAAGGGCGTAGCATCGCCGAGGTTTCTGTCCGAGGTGGGGGTTAGGTCTATGGTGGTACAGCTTTGTTTTCCTATCCCCCTCCTTGCCAGGGTCCCCACTGCCCTCTGCATTTGCCTTCCCTCCATTTGGCTGTGCTGCCTACTGCTGCCTCTCCTCAACCTCCTCCACCTCCTCCTCCTCCTCATCCTTCTTCTCCTCCTCCTCCTCCTCCTCCTCCTCCTCCTCCTCTTCTTTCTCACCTCAAAGAGCCCATTCTGTTCCCAAGCATCCCTCCCCAGCCTTCATATATCTTTCCATAGGGGTGATTGTGAAACGGCTGCCGCGGAAGCTGGATGTGATGGAGGGGGAGAATGCAGTTTTCTGTGTGGAGACACAAGATGAGGCAGAGGGGACCTGCTGGAGCCGGGATGGGCTACAGCTGCGGGAGTCACCCCGCACTGTGCTGAAGAGCTTCGGCAGGACACACCTCCTGGTGCTGGTGCATGTCACCCGCCAGGACGCGGGCATCATCTCCTTCACTGTCAGGGAGTCACAGACATCCTCCCAGCTCCGGGTCAAGTGTAAGCTGCAGGCTTGAAGGGGTCCCATGTCCTCTCTCCTGCCCATTCATGGGGGATGATAGAGAGTGGGAGGTGGAATGGGTACCCAGTATGCTGGGGATGTGATGCTGCAATGGTTTTTGGGGAAGGGAGCTTTCAGCAGGGCTCCAGAACCCCAGCCTCACTGGCACTCACAAACCCCTGTAACTAGCACCATGCTACACAAAAGCAAGACCATCCCCTCCATCAAAGAGAGGATCCCCAAAGAAACAGGCTGTGTAGCCCCCCTCAGCCCTTCTGCCACCCCACTCAGAGTCTCGTTGCCATCCCCAAGCAGCCAACATGGGCTGTGACTTGCAGGTGTGAAGCACAATCCTCCGAGTGCACCGGTGGCAGCTGAGATGAGCGTGGTGGAGAGCAACACGGCTCTGCTGACCTGGTGTCCTGCACCCGATGCCCACCTCCACCCTGCCAGCCGCTACCTGCTGGAGCGGCGGGAGGCAGTGGGGGGTGAGTGGGTGCAGTGCCTGGCCACTGACCTGCCCGGCTGTGTGCGGGTGCTGGGTGACAGCGTACCCCGCGAGGCTGACTACTGCTTCCGCATCTGCGCCACTAACAAGCACGGAAGGAGCAGCCCCGTGGAGTTCCCCGGCTCCGTGCATCTCGGTGAGGATGCCGAGCCAGAGACTTCCACCTGGGAGCTGGGTCTCCCCAGGGGCGAGCTGGGATGTTGTGCTACAGCGTGCTGGTAGTCAGTGCCGCTGGGGCTCAGTCTGGCTGTGCTCCAGTCCCAGCAGCTCGCCTGGAGAGGGGTCTGCAGGATGTGCGGGTGCGGGACGGCGAGGATGCGCAGTTCTCCCTGGAGCTGTCAGCTACAGTGCACGGCTCCTGGTTCCTCAACGGTGCCAGGCTGGGCGAGGAGGATGCAGGAGGTCGGTTCAGGATGCAGCACCGCGGGACAGAGCACTCACTGCTTATCCGGGGAGCACGGCTGGTTGACAGTGGGGCCCAGATCACCTTTGTGTCTGGTGGAGTGCGGGACTCAGCCATGCTGCATGTGCAAGGTGAGTAGGGCGCTTGCCTGGGGTCCTGCCAGGACCCTAACAGTGTGGGCTCTCATGGTGGAGGATGCTTCTCACCTCTCCGCGATGTCTCTCAGCCCCGCAGGTCCGTATTGCTCCAGTGCCCGAGGCCGAGCGGCTCCGGGAGGTGCCGACAGGGCTGCCTGTGCTGCTGGAATGTCAGGTGTCTGCCCCGGATGCTCCTGTCCGCTGGCTGAAGGACGGTGAGGCCGTGCCTCCAGATGACGTTATCGTAGTGCAGGCAGAGGGCTGCGTGCGGAGGCTGCTCCTCCGCTCGGCGAGTCCCTCGGACACTGGTGTGTACACCTGTGATGCTGGGGATGATGCTGTGAGCTTTGTGGTGACCGTGACCGGTGAGCTGGGGACTGCCTGTGGGAGCCTGGACCCCACCTGCTGATAGTGCTCCTGCCCCTCTTCTCACCCCCATAATGGGGCTGAAAGCTGCAGCCAGTTGGGTACCCATGCTGAGCCCCACATTATCCTTGGCAGATGTGCCAGTGAGGATCATCAGCTCCAATGAGGAGGCCACCCACACCTATGTGGCCGGGCAGCGTGTGGAGCTGTGGTGCCAGCTGTCCCGCCTGGTAGCCCCGGTGCACTGGTACAAGGATGGAGAGGAGGTGGAGATGGATGAGAGCCTGGTACTGG